CACACACACACACACACACACACACACACACACACACACACACACACAACACGTACTCAGAGCCCTCGACAGGATCAACTGTTGCCTACGCACAAATCTGGAGCGTATATTCGCGACGCGTCAAGAGCTCGGACAATACCTTGTGCGATTTCCGTGTCAAATGATGCACAATTTTCTTGTCAAATATTGTACAATTTTCTTGTCCACTGTTTTATTGCGATACGTTATATATATCTCTATGCTATAAGAGAGAACGTCTGTCTGTCCAAAGTTTTCTGTAGAGTTTACTTCACATTTTCATGAGTTAATTGAAAACAGTTATTCGAGTTCCTTTGGGTTACAGTGATAAAAATAGTGAGTAGGGAAGATGGTTACAGTGATGGGCGGACAGGAAGAAGATGAGGGAAGAGGTGGGACGAAAGAATGAGGGGAGAGGCAGGACAAGGGGACGGTGAGGGGGTAGAGAAAATATATTAATATGAAAAGACGAAAAAAACTGCTAAAACACTCTATGGGAAAACAAATCACGATTGCAAGCGTCATCAGAATCATTAGCCAGTATTTCTTAGAGGGCGGTACTGTGGTGGATCCCAGGCAGCCTATGACAGTCATATACCACCGTGCGTGTGTTCTTGTAAAGTTGGGTGAAACTAGCCCCAAGCAGTTCATGTTACCCATGTTACCTAGTAGTAAAATAGGTACCTGGGTGTTAGTCAGCTGTCACGGGCTGCTTCCTGGGGGTGGAGGCCTGGTCGAGGACCGGGCCGCGGAGACACTAAAAGCCCCGAAATCATCTCAAGATAACCTCAAGAAGATAGCATCTGACCTCCAATTTTGGATAGACAGGCACACAGAAAAACAGACAAACCGACAGAAAGTTTTTTTATATAGATATAGATATACTAGAGGGGGGGGGGACCCGGCTGCGTCCGGGTCTCAATCCCTTCCTCCCCTTCTCCCAATTTCCCTGTCTCTCATCTGTCTTCCACTGCCACCCTCCTGTCGTTGCTGCCTGTGTTGGTCTGTCTTCTGGCTGCTCTTTTGGCCCTGGTCGATCCCGTCTCTCTGTAGTCCTATGTCTATCTGTATGTCTGGCGGTCTCTGTCTCTTTCACATTGTCTCTGTCTTTTCTCTATATCTCTGTCTCTCGTATAAAATAATATAATAGTTCCCGTTGGCATGCGGGCAGTCAGCCTAAAGGCGGTAATGTGTTACCTATCGGTGTTAACTATTAAGCTAAGTATAGGGTTTAAAACCCGTTACTCAACTGTTGTGTTCGAAGGACCTGTAACCTAGAAAGTTGTTTATCTTGTGAGTATGTCAGTGAGGTTCTGAAGGTGAGTGAGTGAGTGAGTGAGTGAGTGAGTGAGTGAGTGAGTGAGTGAGTGAGTGAGTGAGTGAGTGAGCAGTGAGTGTGGACCAGTTGGCCCTCCCGAGGCCAGACTGATATGGAGGGGTAACTAATGACCATGGGGGGGGGAGGGGAGGGGGGGACACGGTCATTTATAAGATGTAGAAAGCCTGGATTATTTTAATTAAAGTGAGTGAGGCGAGGTCCATAATGGTCTAAATGTAGCTGCTTCTACTGTTTCCTGCTGCTGCTAGTAGTGCTGCTGCTTCCCTCTGACTGTCGCTGTATATAGCGTGAACGAACGCCTTGGGGAACCAGCGAACGAACTTGGCAGTAGTCAAAGAATGGTGTACGATGCAGACAAGTGCCCAAAGGTGTTCAACGAGAGCCCTGAAGCATTAATATACTCCCTAAGATGTTAACGAACACCCTGTGGTGATAACGAACACAATATGGTGTTAACGAACACCCTGTGGTGATAACGAACGCCCTGTGGTGATAACGAACACAATATGGTGTTAACGAACGCCCTGTGGTGATAACGAACACAATATGGTGTTAACGAACGCCCTGTGGTGATAACGAACACAATATGGTGTTAACGAACACCCTGTGGTGATAATGAACACAATATGGTGTTAACGAACGCCCTGTGGTGATAACGAACGCCCTGTGGTGATAACGAACACAATATGGTGTTAACGAACGCCCTGTGGTGATAACGAACGCCCTGTGGTGATAACGAACACAATATGGTGTTAACGAACGCCCTGTGGTGATAACGAACGCCCTGTGGTGATAACGAACACAATAAGGTGTTAACGAACGCCCTGTGGTGATAACGAACGCCCTGTGGTGATAACGAACACAATAAGGTGTTAACGAACGCCCTGTGGTGATAACGAACACAATAAGGTGTTAACGAACGCCCTGTGGTGATAACGAACACAATAAGGTATTAACGAACGCCCTGTAGTGATAACGAACGCCCTGTGGTGATAACGAACACAATAAGGTGTTAACGAACGCCCTGTGGTGATAACGAACGCCCTGTGGTGATAACGAACACAATAAGGTGTTAACGAACGCCCTGTAGTGATAACGAACACAATAAGGTGTTAACGAACGCCCTGTGGTGATAACGAACACAATAAGGTGTTAACGAACGCCCTGTGGTGATAACGAACACAATAAGGTGTTAACGAACGCCCTGTGGTGATAACGAACACAATAAGGTGTTAACGAACGCCCTGTGGTGATAACGAACACAATAAGGTGTTAACGAACGCCCTGTGGTGATAACGAACACAATAAGGTGTTAACGAACGCCCTGTGGTGATAACGAACACAATAAGGTGTTAACGAACTCATAAAAGTGCGTACTGCCCCAGCAAGAACATTGACCGCTCAGTAATATTGGTGGTGGTTGTATGCCAGAGAGAATGTAGCCGACTGTGAAGCGCTCCGAGTTTAACATTGTGTGGTTGATTAGTGTGGATTCAATACCAGCTTAATAATATAATTACAAACATGATTCATTTTCCAGTCTATAGAGTATCCCTGGTTCATTTATATAAGATGTAATTAACTGATGTTTATTAACTTTTCCAAGGCATAATGACATTCTTTATCGAGTGTTTGATTGACAGTGCTTCACATAATCACTCACGTTAGGCATAATTAATGGATATTAGAATTAAAAGTCTGGCTTTCAGAATATCAAGTGTAGCTCAGTCCCAAAAATTAGTGGAAAAACAAAAGTGTTATTTTTCATTTCCGATTTGTATTATCGTGTTTAAAAGCTCACGTAAAGCTTAAACTGAATAACACGATCCGTTGTAGTGAAACTGAATGTTATTGTGTGTAGCAGGTAGTGATAACTTGGGAGAATATGCTCCTTGTGAGGGATAACTTGGGAGAATATGCTCCTTGTGAGGGATAACTTGGGAGAATATGCTCCTTGTGAGGGATAACTTGGGAGAATATGCTCCTTGTGAGGGATAACTTGGGAGAATATGCTCCTTGTGAGGTATAACTTGGGAGAATATGCTCCTTGTGAGGGATAACTTGGGAGAATATGCTCCTTGTGAGGTATAACTTGGGGGAATATGCTCTTTGTGAGGTATAACTTGGGAGAATATGTTCCTTGTGAGGGATAACTTGGGAGAATATGCTCCTTGTGAGGGATAACTTGGGAGAATATGCTCCTTGTGAGGGATAACTTGGGAGAATATGCTCCTTGTGAGGGATAACTTGGGAGAATATGCTCCTTGTGAGGGATAACTTGGGAGAATATGCTCCTTGTGAGGGATAACTTGGGAGAATATGCTCCTTGTGAGGGATAACTTGGGAGAATATGCTCCTTGTGAGGGATAACTTGGGAGAATATGCTCCTTGTGAGGTATAACTTGGGGGAATATGCTCTTTGTGAGGTATAACTTGGGAGAATATGTTCCTTGTGAGGGATAACTTGGGAGAATATGCTCCTTGTGAGGGATAACTTGGGAGAATATGCTCCTTGTGAGGGATAACTTGGGAGAATATGCTCCTTGTGAGGGATAACTTGGGAGAATATGCTCCTTGTGAGGGATAACTTGGGAGAATATGCTCCTTGTGAGGGATAACTTGGGAGAATATGCTCCTTGTGAGGGATAACTTGGGAGAATATGCTCCTTGTGAGGGATAACTTGGGAGAATATGCTCCTTGTGAGGGATAACTTGGGAGAATATGCTCCTTGTGAGGGATAACTTGGGAGAATATGCTCCTTGTGAGGGATAACTTGGGAGAATATGCTCCTTGTGAGGGATAACTTGGGAGAATATGCTCCTTGTGAGGGATAACTTGGGAGAATATGCTCCTTGTGAGGTATAACTTGGGAGAATATGCTCCTTGTGAGGGATAACTTGGGAGAATATGCTCCTTGTGAGGGATAACTTGGGAGAATATGCTCCTTGTGAGGTATAACTTGGGAGAATATGCTCCTTGTGAGGGATAACTTGGGAGAATATGCTCCTTGTGAGGGATAACTTGGGAGAATATGCTCCTTGTGAGGGATAACTTGGGAGAATATGCTCCTTGTGAGGGATAACTTGGGAGAATATGCTCCTTGTGAGGTATAACTTGGGAGAATATACTCCTTGTGAGGGATAACTTGGGAGAATATGCTCCTTGTGAGGGATAACTTGGGAGAATATGCTCCTTGTTATTCTGTTCTTAATTTTACATACATTCTTAATGAATTTTTGTTCACTATTCTTAATTGCCTTCTCGTATCCCCCAAGTTTTCTATATCATTTCTATCAGTTTCCCTTTTGTTCATTCTTTCATTCTTTCATTCATTCTGATTTTCTTTCATATATATACTCATTTACTGCGGCCAGCCTCACCTTGTGGGCTTCACCGTTCCTAGGACCAGCTTCACCGTTCCTAGGGCCAGCCTCACCGTTCTTAGGGCCAGCCTCACCGTTCTTGGGGCCAGCCTCACCGTTCCTAGGGCCAGCCTCACCGTTCCTAGGGCCAGCCTCACCGTTCTTAGGGCCAGCCTCACCGTTCTTGGGGCCAGCCTCACCGTTCCTAGGGCCAGCCTCACCGTTCCTAGGGCCAACCTCACCGTTCCTAGGGCCAGCCTCACCGTTCCTAGGGCCAGCCTCACCGTTCTTGGGGGCCAGCCTCACCGTTCCTAGGGCCAGCCTCATCGTTCCTAGGGACAACCTCACCGTTCCTAGGGCCAGCCTCACCGTTCTTGGGGCCACCCTCACCGTTCCTAGGGCCAGCCTCACCGTTCCTAGGGCCAGCCTCACCGTTCCTAGGGCCAGCCTCACCGTTCCTAGGGCCAGCCTCACCGTTCTTGGGGCCAGCCTCACCGTTCCTAGGGCCAGCCTCACCGTTCCTAGGGCCAGCCTCACCGTTCCTAATGCCAGCATCACCGTTCCTAGGGCCAGCCTCACCGTTCTTGCGGCCAGCCTCACCGTTCCTAGGACCAGCCTCACCGTTCTTGGGGCCAGCCTCACCGTTCCTAGGGCCAGCCTCACCGTTCCTAGGGCCAGCCTCACCGTTCTTGCGGCCAGCCTCACCGTTCCTAGGACCAGCCTCACCGTTCTTGGGGCCAGCCTCACCGTTCCTAGGGCCAGCCTCACCGTTCCTAGGGCCAGCCTCACCGTTCCTAGGGCCAGCATCACCGTTCTTGCGGCCAGCCTCACCGTTCCTAGGACCAGCCTCACCGTTCTTGGGGCCAGCCTCACCGTTCCTAGGGCCAGCCTCACCGTTCCTAGGGCCAGCCTCACCGTTCCTAGGGCCAGCCTCACCGTTCTTGGGGCCAGCCTCACCGTTCTTGGGGCCAGCCTCACCGTTCCTAGGGCCAGCCTCACCGTTCCTAGGGCCAGCCTCACCGTTCCTAATGCCAGCATCACCGTTCCTAGGGCCAGCCTCACCGTTCCTAGGGCCAGCCTCACCGTTCTTGGGGCCAGCCTCACCGTTCTTGGGGCCAGCCTCACCGTTCTTGGGGCCAGCCTCACCGTTCCTAGGGCCAGCCTCACCGTTCCTAGGGCCAGCCTCACCGTTCTTGGGGCCAGCCTCACCGTTCTTGGGGCCAGCCTCACCGTTCCTAGGGCCAGCCTCACCGTTCCTAGGGCCAGCATCACCGTTCCTAGGGCCAGCCTCACCATTGTCTCCTGCTCGCCCCTTTAAAGAGACCGGTTTATTTACCACAATTTACGGCCTCCATAAATTTCAGACATTCTCTCTTTTGGGAGAAATTTATGTTTTCCACCAATTAAATGAACTTTTATGAACAATTCTTTGAGCGGTTTTCGCGTTTGACGCTTGGTATGTGGTGTACCATGATGCTGGGTATGTGGTGTACCGTGTTGCTTGGTATGTGGTGTACCATGATGCTGGGTATGTGGTGTACCGTGATGCTTGGTATGTGGTGTACCGTGATGCTGGGTATGTGGTGTACCGTGATGCTTGGTATGTGGTGTACCATGATGCTTGGTATGTGGTGTACCGTGATGCTTGGTATGTGGTGTACCGTGTTGCTTGGTATGTGGTGTACCGTGTTACTTGGTATGTGGTGTACCATGATGCTGGGTATGTGGTGTACCGTGTTGCTTGGTATGTGGTGTACCATGATGCTGGGTATGTGGTGTACCGTGTTGCTTGGTATGTGGTGTACCATGATGCTGGGTATGTGGTGTACCGTGTTGCTTGGTATGTGGTGTACCGTGATGCTTGGTATGTGGTGTACCGTGATGCTGGGTATGTGGTGTACCGTGTTACTTGGTATGTGGTGTACCGTGATGCTGGGTATGTGGTGTACCGTGTTGCTTGGTATGTGGTGTACCATGATGCTGTGTATGTGGTGTACCATGTTGCTTGGTATGTGGTGTACCATGATGCTGGGTATGTGGTGTACCGTGTTGCTGGGTATGTGGTGTACCATGATGCTGGGTATGTGGTGTACCGTGTTGCTTGGTATGTGGTGTACCGTGATGCTTGGTATGTGGTGTACCGTGTTGCTTGGTATGTGGTGTACCGTGATGCTTGGTATGTGGTGTACCGTGTTGCTTGGTATGTGGTGTACCATGATGCTTGGTATGTGGTGTACCGTGATGCTTGGTATGTGGTGTACCGTGTTGCTTGGTATGTGGTGTACCGTGTTGCTTGGTATGTGGTGTACCGTGTTGCTTGGTATGTGGTGTACCGTGATGCTTGGTATGTGGTGTACCGTGATGCTTGGTATGTGGTGTACCGTGATGCTTGGTATGTGGTGTACCGTGTTGCTTGGTATGTGGTGTACCGTGTTGCTTGGTATGTGGTGTACCGTGTTGCTTGGTATGTGGTGTACCGTGTTGCTTGGTATGTGGTATACCGTGTTGCTTGGTATGTGGTGTACCGTGTTGCTTGGTATGTGGTGTACCGTGTTGCTTGGTATGTGGTGTACCGTGTTGCTTGGTATGTGGTGTACCGTGTTGCTTGGTATGTGGTGTACCGTGATGCTTGGTATGTGGTGTACCGTGATGCTTGGTATGTGGTGTACCGTGTTGCTTGGTATGTGGTGTACCGTGATGCTTGGTATGTGGTGTACCGTGTTGCTTGGTATGTGGTGTACCGTGTTGCTTGGTATGTGGTGTACCGTGATGCTTGGTATGTGGTGTACCGTGATGCTTGGTATGTGGTGTACCGTGTTGCTTGGTATGTGGTGTACCGTGTTGCTTGGTATGTGGTGTACCGTGTTGCTTGGTATGTGGTGTACCGTGTTGCTTGGTATGTGGTGTACCGTGTTGCTTGGTATGTGGTGTACCGTGTTGCTTGGTATGTGGTGTACCGTGTTGCTTGGTATGTGGTGTACCGTGATGCTTGGTATGTGGTGTACCGTGATGCTTGGTATGTGGTGTACCGTGTTGCTTGGTATGTGGTGTACCGTGATGCTGGGTATGTGGTGTACCGTGTTGCTTGGTATGTGGTGTACCGTGTTGCTTGGTATGTGGTGTACCGTGTTGCTTGGTATGTGGTGTACCGTGATGCTTGGTATGTGGTGTACCGTGATGCTTGGTATGTGGTGTACCGTGTTGCTTGGTATGTGGTGTACCGTGTTGCTTGGTATGTGGTGTACCGTGATGCTCAGTTTGATGTGCACTGCGTCATTGCGCGCACACACACACACACATACAGGAGCCGGTGGCCGAGCGGACAGCACGCTGGACACGTGATCCTGTGGTCCCGGGTTCAATCCCGGGCGCCGGCGAGAAACGATGGGCAGAATTTCTTTCACCCTAAGCCTCCTGTTACTTAACAGTAAATAGGTACCTGGGAGTTAGTCAGCTGTCACGGCCTGCTCCCTGGTGTGTGTGTGTGTACTCACCTAATTGTACTCACCTAATTGTGCTTGCGGGGGTTGAGCTTTGGCTCTTTGGTCCCGCCTCTCAACTGTCAATCAACTGGTGTACAGATTCCTGGACCTGTGTGTGTGTACTCACCTAATTGTGCTTGCGGGGGTTGAGCTCTGGCTCTTTGGTCCCGCCTGTGTGTGTGTGTGTGTGTGTGTATGTGTGTGTGTGTGTGTGTGTGTGTGTGTGTGTGTGTGTGTCTGTGGTATGGGGAAAAAAGTATTAGTAGTAGAAACAATTGATTGACAGTTGAGAGGCGGGCCGAAAGAGCCAAAGCTCAACCCCCCAAGCACAACTAGGTGAATGCACACATACACACACACACACACACACACACACACACACACACACACACACACACACACACACACACACACACACACACATACACACACACACATATGTAAATGATCTCCCAGAGGGTATAGATTCGTTCCTCTCAATGTTTGCCGACGATGCAAAAATTATGAGGAGGATTGAAACAGAGGATGATAGTAGGAGGCTACAAGATGACCTGGATAGACTGAGTGAATGGTCCAACAAATGGCTGTTGAAGTTCAACCCGAGTAAATGCAAAGTAATGAAACTAGGCAGAGGAAACAGGAGGCCAGGCACAGGATACAGAATAGGAGATGAAGTACTTAATGAAACAGACAGAGAGAAAGATCTAGGAGTTGATATCACACCAAACCTGTCTCCTGAAGCCCACATAAAGAGAATAACGTCTGCGGCATATGCGAGGCTGGCTAACATCAGAACGGCGTTCCGGAACCTGTGTAAGGAATCATTCCGAATCTTGTACACCACATATGTAAGACCAATCCTGGAGTATGCAGCCCCAGCATGGAGCCCGTACCTTGTCAAGCACAAGACGAAGCTGGAAAAAGTCCAAAGGTATGCTACTAGACTAGTCCCAGAACTAAGAGGCATGAGTTATGAGGAAAGGCTGCGGGAAATGCACCTTACGACACTGGAAGACAGAAGAGTAAGGGGGGACATGATCACAACCTACAAAATCCTCAGGGGAATCGACCGGGTAAACAAGGATGAACTATTCAACACTGGTGGGACGCGAACAAGGGGACACAGGTGGAAGCTGAGTACCCAAATGAGCCACAGAGACGTTAGAAAGAACTTTTTCAGTGTCAGAGTAGTTAGTAAATGGAATGCATTAGGAAGTGATGTGGTGGAGGCTGACTCCATACACAGTTTCAAATGTAGATATGATAGAGCCCAATAGGCTCAGGAATCTGTACACCAGTTGATTGACGGTTGAGAGGCGGGACCAAAGAGCCAAAGCTCAACCCCCGCAAGCACAACTAGGTGAGTACAACTAGGTGAGTACACACACACACACACACACACACACACACACACACACACACACACACACACACACACACACACACACACACACACACACACACACAATCAAATGTCTTACAGATGAAGAGACAGACATGCGCCACCCACAGGGAAAGCCGCCACTGAATAAGAGAGAGAGAGAGAGAGAGAGAGAGAGAGAGAGAGAGAGAGAGAGAGAGAGAGAGAGAGAGAGAGAGAGAGAGAGAGAAGCCTTCAGTCACACAAATGGTATATGACAGAGTCAGCGGAGCGCATGATCCAATGTAGCGAGTGTAGAGAGTTGTGTGAGGGAGGGGTTCCAACCCGCTTAAACTCCATCGCTCGCTTATCAACCAACAACTCTGGCCAGACGATGATTGCCACGTCTCTGCCTCATCTTATGTAATACTTAAAAAGCTTGGTAAAATTTTCTTATGCTTAAAGACTAGGAAATAAGATGTGTTGCAAATGTCGCAGTCTCTGCGTGTTTAACAAAGTTCATATGAAGAAAACGGTTCAAGTTAAAAGGTTTTACCGAGAGTCGTGGAAATAATGAAGTTGTCAGTGACTGGAACTGGTCTTGATCTCGGCGTATTTAAGTTATAAAAAGTAGGCAAAATAAACTTCACAAATATCAAGAAACAAGTAGTAACAGAACTGAAGCAGCTTCATTAAACAAATATTAACATGCACAGACGTGTCGTAAACACGTTTGTTTATACACACGTGTGTGTGTGTACTCACCCAATTGTGCTTGCGGGGGTTGAGCTCTGGCTCTTTGGTCCCGCCTCTCAACCGTCAATCAACAGGTGTACAGGTTCCTGAGCCTATTCTATCATATCTACACTTAAAACTGTGTATGGAGTCAGCCTCCACCACATCACTTCCTAATGCATTCCATTTGTCAACCACTCTGACACTAAAAAAGTTCTTTCTAATATCTCTGTGGCTCATTTCGGCACTCAGTTTCCACCTGTGTCCCCTAGTGCGTGTGCCCCTTGTGTTAAATAGCCTGTCTTTATCAACCCTGTCGATTCCCTTGAGAATCTTGAATGTGGTAATCATGTCCCCCCTAACTCTTCTGTCTTCCAACGAAGTGAGGTTCAATTCCCGTAGTCTCTCCTCGTAGCTCATACCCCTCAGCTCGGGTACTAGTCTGGTGGCAAACCTTTGAACCTTTTCCAGTTTAGTCTTATGCTTGACTAGATATGGACTCCATGCTGGAGCCGCATACTCCAGGATTGGTCTGACATATGTGGTATATAATGTTCTGAAAGATTCCTTACACAAGTTTCTAAAGGCCGTTCTTATGTTAGCCAACCTGGCATATGCTGCTGATGTTATCCTCTTGATATGAGCTTCAGGGGACAGGTCTGGCGTGATATCAACCCCCAGGTCTTTCTCTCTCTCTGACTCTTGAAGTATTTCATCTCCCAAGTGATACCTTGT